TTTTTCCAGGCAGAGGAAGTTTCGAAGAAGCGTCGTGATGACCAGCTAGGGCTTCGATAGCTGGAGATGGCATGGCAGTCGTGCCATTGTGACTAGAACTGCCTGTCAGAGTCGAACCTTCGGCTAAAGGGTTAGCAGACAGCTTGGGTGGATGCGAAGGGTGTGATGACACACAGCAATCGGCGCCAGTGAAGGCAGAATGGACGTTGCCGTCACCATAGTAATCTTCAACGAGTACTGCGAGTGAGGGAGAGCTGGATGATGCTTGTCATGAGAAGTAAAGGCTGGCATCGAACGCACCATCCTATGGTCAGTGTGACGTGCTGCTTCGCAGGTTACCTCACGATTGAGGAGAGCAAACAAAACCTTGCGAAGGGCAGAGATTTATCAAACCGATAGCAGAGACTCGTCTCAACGGGTGGACTGCATGTCGACAGCAGGCAGGACTGGCAATCCTCACAATAGCATAGCCAAAACCGAGAGAAATTCAACCAAACCGGACAAATTTCGAATTTACCATATAACCCAGTGAAACTGGTTCTCTCCGTGCGCAACGTGTTGGAATGATTCACGGCAACCTTGAGGTGAGTTCGTCGCGACACGTCTTAAATGTACCCCCGCTTTCAATTAACCACCAACCCCTCCATACGATCATAAGCTCGTCATCCCTTCCCGCTTTTCCAACATGTCCAAAGCCTGACACATTACCAGGTTAATTTAGGTAGGGCCATCCTCTTCAACAATGTGGAGCCATATCTGCCCAGGTCCGGTAGCATGAAGATGAACACTTACATTTATTCAACCGTGGGCTAGTTGACTCTGCTCCGTGGATGTCAAATCACGAGGTGCCTGAGCAGGTTCATCGGTCATGGTGCCAAAGGACCGAAGGACTGAAGAGACTGCAGTGAGCAAACGCCATCTTTTAGAGAAGAAAGCAAGTAAACATTGGGGCGAATGTAAACCTCCGCTGTTTCCTGGACGGCAACATTATTACATCTGGTACTAGTTGCAGAAAGCCTTGAATCGGATTACCATCGTCGTCTTCGGAATTCAGGTTTTGAAAATGATTTGCGGCATACCGTTGTGAAATTTTCGACCTGCGAACAAATGGTCGAGTGTTAAAGACGGGCCTCCACCGCATGTTTAAAACATGAGCTGCCCACGCTCGCTGACCAGCCGGACACATTAGTTCAAGAACTAGGGCACAAATAAAGACTAGGAGGTATGTTCCACGCCAGTGTCATTGGCGTCAAGTACCAAATTATCCTGCAACTGTCTGCATGGCGACGAAGAGTGGCAGCTGCCGGGCTTTCAGACACGCTGCACCCGCTCCAATATGACACCAAGCTGTGATTCATGGACACCGGGATGAATGACCTGCCCCTAGAGCGCGGGCTGTCCAACGCGAGCATGCAAGTCTTAACCCAAGGTTTGCGCTGTGGAAGGCCTCGACTTCTGCCTTAATCTTTCCGAAAACATGACTCTCAAAATCTTGGTCGATCTCATGAACTGGCATGATGATTGAAGTGAAACGTGATTTGTTAGTGTTGTGGTCAGTCGTTTGCTTGGTGAGGGCGTGGGTGGAGGCTGCCAACAGCCTCAGCATCCCGCCAGGTATCCGCACTGTGCCAAGCGACTCATGCGAAGCAGCACATCGAGGCGGGCAGAGAAAGCTCCCACACGAGTGGCAGCGAAAGACTGGGCTGAGAATAGACTCAAAGAGGGCGGGTAGGATTCGGAGATGGCGACGGCACTCACGCGTGGCCTGCCCATCCAGGTGCCATTCACGTCATGGTAGCCAATCCGGTGCAGTGTCAGTTCTAGGCTGCTAGCAACTCCATCCCATGGCAGCGACCAAGTGGGCATGATTCCGACTCAGCCTGGCCAACCTTTCGACCTAGGACACTTGTCTTCGATGCTCTGCAGGCAAGGTCGACGGCAAATTAACATGATGGTGAAATGCCGGAGTGCTGTGTGTATGTTTCCTAATGGGCAGTTGGTGTAGTGGGAAGAGGGCTTGTCTAGGAGACATAGGTTGTGAGATCTTCTTTGATGTGGCTGGTTTGGGTGTTTGGTAGAATGCTTTTGAGGTCTTGTAACTTTTTTCTTCTGGGACACGCTATTGTTAGCTATCGAACGGGGTGGCACAAAAAAGATACGAGAGAATTGAAGCTACAAACAGATTTTTACTCTGGAAAGAGATGAGCTTTCGAGTCTCTGCGCAGTGCGCATTACTTCCCCGCTTGGACTGAGGGACGATCGAGCAGAGTGACGGTCTTTGCAGACGTGATCGCTGCGCCTGCGTTCCTGGTAGTCAAATGGGGCGGCTCCTAGTGCTCACGTAATTTCTTTTGCCAACTGTCTGGTACCAGAGCAACGACGGTTTGATCTGCATACGCCCTGTGCCCAATATAGACGGCGGATTCAAGCCTTTCCTTGACATGATCACTACTCAATGATTCTAATCACGCTTGCCTGCGTTCCCCCCAATCGCTCCATACGTTGATGTTGAGACAGGTGGCGCAGACAAAACAAATGCTACAAATCTCGATTGCTAACAGCCAAAATAGCACATACAACACCGGGCATTCGCCGGTCGTCACCGACCCGACTACTACTCCAGCCCTCACTGGCTTATCTATGGGAGAGCGGACGGGATCCCGAGTTCTCCAGTGGGTATGGTCGTATGTGGTCAAGAGAGGAACAGAGGATGCTCATATTGCATCGGTGGAATACTCGCGTTCAGCTTTCACCATTTCCCCGTCCCGGCAACATGACCCTTGTCATATTTGACTTGAGATGTGTTGTACTTTTGTTTTTTGATGTTGCCTATCCGTTTCTGTTTAGAGCACTAACCCTCATTCGCGAAATGCATCATGTGCCCGCTTGGGGGCGAACGTTTACTCGCCTTCTTGGCTTGAATACTTTCCTTTCCAGCATCGTCCTATTTCGGTGCTTCACTGATCCAATCTTCCTCGCAGGCAGCCTAATCAGGACCACCGACATCTCTGGACCATCCGTATCACCGCTCTCCTCGGGAAAGATGCAGCGGTCTGCTTCATTCATACGTTTAGCCTTTGGCTTCCTCCTAAAGTCATTGCACGTAAGCGTACTGCAGGTTAAGATAGGGGCGGTCAAACAGGCGAATGGCCGCGACGGGTGAGGCACTTGAATACCTTGCTGCCAGCCTCACCTGACATCAACGCGCAGACGAACGCCTATGTTAATCCTCAATGTTTGTTAATCAAAGCCACCCCTTAACGAAATCGTCTGCCGGCTGTTCAGAATTTTACGCAGGTCTACGTGCTAATTTGTATCTGGTTGAATCTCCTAACGCTTTCGCAGAAAACAATTCATACTGAGAGGACAAAATCAATCGGCCCGCATGCTGCGCCTCTCTTGACAGACACATGAGCAGCCAAGGAGAAGAATGGCATCAGAAGTCTGCATACGGAACGGGTCGACTTTCAGGTTCTTCCCAGTTGCTCAACATGTCTTCCCCTCGCTTTGGTCACGATTGTGCTAATTAAGCCTGGAAGGGTGCAGAGGAGCGCCAAAGGCCACGCAGTCCAAGAAATCCTTTTCTACCGCATGCACGTTTGGATTGGATGACTATCTGTGAAGACTCCTGACTTCTAGAATGTGTATTGAAACAACCAATAGACTGGTCTGGCACTTTTTAAAGTCCAACATTGGGGGAAGTCTCAACACTTTGTACTGAGCATCTGTGAGGCCGAAAGAGTACATCGCAGGAATATTGTTTGTCCCGTTGTATTTGAGTTCATCTTCTCTATTTCCGTCTCTCAATCCTTCGTCGCAGTTTGCCAACCATGTGTCATCGCCCGGACGTACTTATAACGTAGGTCTCAAAGGACTTGCTGCTACTTAAGAGACAGCTTCTTCGCGTGCGCAGTGGCCTCCTTAGAATCAGCAGCCTCCGCGTTCTAAGTTTTCACTTACGCGCCTGAGGAGGTCAACTGACGACGAAAGCGAGGGACATCTTGAGGTTTTCAGAGGTGCCGTGCCACAGGAAGCCTGGGACGTTTGTTGCCTTTGTCACCCTTTCCATCCGGCATGTTCCAGCGGCCGGACGGGGCCTAAATATGACGAGCACTCTTTCAGCAGCTTGTCTCATGGTCCAAGACGGCGTGTAACCACGAAAACACACAATGGAGAGGTCAAGCATGTCTTCATGTTCTCGACGCTCAAGTAAATCATCGTCCGCGATGCTAACTTTTGGCCGGGCATCCAATGGACATCGTCGATGCGCGAATGTCGCCGAGTCTTCAAAACGACTCTTTATGAAGGCCTCAGCGAACTTGAGAAGTTATACATGTTGACAGTAGCCTGGTTGTCGAGCCTGTGATACGAGTGAGCCTGCCTCTCGTAGCTAATGCTCTTTAGTTTGGGATGGTACTGAGTGGCGCGAGTTGTCTCGAATGTTCGATTGGATGCAATGGTTGGGATAAGAGGCAACTTCATCGTCAAAGGCTGTCCAAAGTGCCGGCTTCGGTGCTTCTCGTGGCAGTGTTGCTGCGGGTTTCCTTACCTTGGAAATAGCGGATAACAACATCCACCTTCTCCCTCGACTGTTGAGGATCGGCGACACAGCAGCAATCGGACTTGGAACGGTGCTCTCGAGGACAGGACCGGCCGCTGAGATTTGAGTGTACGAAAATTCGTGTTTGGGGTTCGTTTCGACCGCACGGGAGGCTGGCTTGTGGTCAAGGACTTTCTGATTGATGTCGTCGTCTTGGATGAGTTGCAGTCAAGGAGGCCGCGACGTCAACGATTAGCAACTGGAATTGCAAAAGTTGCAAGCATGCCACAAACCCTCCGGTAGGGGCAGAAAAGAAATATGTAAAGGATATAAGGGGCTCCCAGGCATCTGATAATGTGAGGTAGTGCTGAAAGCGAAGGTTGAAGGAATGCGTCTGTCGCTCTCTATGTGAGGTGGGTAGCGCGGCATTGATCGTTTCCCGCTGAGGCTGCGAAGGTACCTATACGACCATGAGCTGGATGGCACTGGGCGGCTCTTCGCCGTCGATACGTTTCATGCACGTTTGAACGTTCTCGGGGCTTTGAGCGGCGCGGTTGGTACGAGTAATGCCAGTGCTCTGGCGGATGATGTTGCGCATCGATGCAATCCGTGGATGGTTTGGACCGGTGAAGGTGCAAATGTGTGCCGCCTTGGTGGGCTTGATGCTGATTTTAGCGGTGCGAATCGGCATGGAGCCACTGTAGCTACGGCGGTCTGGCCGCTGTGGTGTCGACTACGCTGTGCACGGGCAGACTGAAACTGCCGATTCAATCGCTACAATCGGCACTTAGCCGCTGTAGCTCCAGCGAGCAGGCCACCTACCTTACAGACCCGCACCACCTACGTGTGACGGACGTGAACACTCCGAACCCCAGCTGCCGTGACGGGAAAATGCAATTCACCAGAAAATGATTTCCGACTTCCTACCTAAGCCAACCAGTCCCCCCGTTCCATCTTCATGGGATGGTACAACCCTGTTATTGGCTGGCTGATCCCAGTTAGCTCGAGCCCACAGTGGTTATCAAACCAACTCGATCGCGTTTTTGGGCTCTCCGTCAAGGCTTCCTGCGATGTATTCGTCTGGCCATACCATCAACTCAAGGTCTTGACGGCTCATCATACATTAACCCATCCCCGTGTGAACGCCAGCCTTATCCTTTGGTCTCACAAAACGCCATTAAAATCCCCTCATTTCCGCCGGCCGTGAATATTGTTCCAGCCCAGACTTAACAGACCTTGCGACGCTTGCTACTTCTCATCCGTCAGTAAGGTCCAGAGAGGGACAAGACAAAACGTACCTGAGCGGCTCAATAACAAGTACCTCTGATGACTCGCGCATCTCCTCAGAGCACCATGATCGATTGTGGTGGTTCCAGCTGAGCTCTTCGGGCCTGATGATCCGCATGTCCCTCTCCGAGTACCATCTTTCGCCGTCCACGCACTCCTTCAGGTAAAAAAGACACTCGAGACACTCGAGGGCGACGATGTACTTGGTCCAGGCTTCAGGCGGACGGAGATTCCATCGAATCAGCGCTGTCATCATGGCCACGGTATCAAAGACCTTCTCTCCCCTCAACATCTTCAGCTCGTTAGTGGTAATGGCGCCTTTTCTAGACGGAAGGCCTTGTCCCGCGAGATGTGACAGCGACAGACGCTTCTCCTCTTCCGACATCAGGACATCCACGGTGTCAATGTTGTACAACTCCAACGCAAGCTTCATCCATTTTTTCTGCTTGTCGTTGTGCCAGCTTGCGGGGGTCCATACGAATCGCTCCTCTGGGTGGCATTCCACTTCCGATGTTGGGCTTGTCACTTCGATGGCCAGGTCGTTTTCATTGTGGACATCAACCGGGGCAATGTCTGGTGAGTTTTCTTGCTTGACGACAGCCGACCGAAGCCGAGGACGGTCCAAGCCTATGGCAGCCCAAGACGAAGGGATGATTCCATCCGGAGCTGTCCGCCTTCTTCGCCGGTTGGGTTGATGATCCCGTGCCGAAGGGATTTGAGCGAGCTGCAGGCTACTAGGTCCTTCGTTGTCGATCTTGATGGCTCCAACGGGATGACTGCCCGCGGAAGCCGGTTGGCCAGGCTCGAGATTGGCCATGGTGGGTGAATAGAGCAGATGATGATTTTTGCGCGGTTCAATTTTTTGTTTGCTGCTAATGAGGAAGAAATAAACAAAACAAGCGCGTTCTGCCGACGGGCTCCTTCCCGTGTTAGGAAACTGCAATCTGAGGTTGTGAAGGGAAGGTAGTGGAGGGCACAGACCACTGCTGTGTTTTATTCAGTGAAAGGAAGATGGCGAGGGTTGCCAATTTCGCTTTATCAGCCGTTCTGACTGAACTCATAGTTGGACGGCTCTTCTCCCGCAGCAACTTCAGCACATTAACTCCCGGCGTAATCCTCCTCCAACTCATCTCTCCACGAGCCCGTTCAAGAGATAAAAAGTCACACCACCAACTTTGATTTTTTAGATATGATTGTGATCGACACTAGAAACGCGACTGCTGAGATCTGTACTGGGAATGCACTATTACCGGGCTCAGGGCAAAGTGAGATGAGCGGGAGTCATTTTCAAGCATAGCCTCTGCATGAAAAAAATCGTGGTTCATCATGTACAATGTATAAAACCCTTAGGTGACAAGAAAATACGGTGACGGGATCCTGATGGTACTAGCATGATTGTTCATCCGAAAGTCCGGGGCCTCCATGCATCGAGTCTCAATCTTGCTGAATGACGACGAAGACACCCCAAACCAACACACGGGGGAGGCCAGCATGTGGGGACTTGAGATGGCTGGACTGGATGTATCTGCTGTTTGAGGGCGGCCCAATCATCCTGCCCTGGGTAGCTAGGGACTTCCATAAATACTGAGCTGTATATGACAGTTGGACATACTGTAGGCAAGCATTATTGGATGTGAAATGTAAATACGCCGCCGGTATGTCGTCAAATCTCCTGAAATTTACAGCACCAATCTCAAGAAGAAATTTGTTTTTCGAGGACCTCATCTCACACACGCCGTCAATTAACATTGGCGTGCGTTTTGAATGGCGCCGAGGCGTGGCTGGCTGCGTTAACGTTTCTTTCTTTGTACGCGCTTCCCGTGATGAGGGGTTGAAACAGTTGTCTTGCTACTTACTGTGGTGCTTCTTGTAGCCATAAACAAAACAGATGCCTGTGATGTCTGTGAGCATTCCTATGATTCTGCCGGTGGATAGCAGCTACTCCGATGAGTCTCGATGACTCTTGACCAGCACACGCCACCGTCAGTTCCGACAACATGGCGGAGACCATCTCCATCCCGCATCGGATTCGTGTTCACCAAAGCTAGCTATGTCTTTGCACCCAAGGGACAAGCATGCGCATTAATCTTGCACTAGACTGTTGCTAAAGTTGCAGCCTGACCTGTGACCATGACCTGATCTGTATATACTAGACAAGTCAAAGCACGATTCCCAAGCTACGAGATCATCTTTGTCAAGCTTCGCATTGGGTTATTGAAAGTCTCACACAGCTCGATCCATCCCTATGTATCCTGTATCACTTCCACCGCATTATTGACATCCTTCCAGGCCGACCATCCCGATAGGGTACGTATTCGTTCCGGGGTACGCTCGACAACGGCCAAGCCGTCATGACCGGCTGTGCGATTGGATCCTGGAATACATCAAACGCCTTAGTTCAGCTTGCCTTTGGAAGAAGACCGGGCCTTGCGATTGCTCTCGGTGTACTCCTTTAGAGTCTCAGCGACCTTATTCCTCTTGCGCTTCCGGGGCTTCTGCTTCTTCCGCCGTTTTTGCCTATACCCATGTGCAACCTCCGCCAGAACGTCGGACCGCACCTATGTTATGAAACCATGTGCGGTGTCGACTGTTGTTTGAAGATGTTGACCAGCCGGTACAAATCGGCGCGCGAGTTCTGTCCGCAATCGCAGTCAGCCACTTCAAGCCCGGGGTCAAGTACTATGCCAGCTTACCTGAGGTATTGAACGGGGTTATAATCGCGGCCCGGGTCGAAAGGGTCAAAAGTGAAGTGGTCATCTGTCATCATCAGAAAAGCCCAGTACAGCTTGTGAACGAACATGTTTCTTGGTACCGCCTAGAAGCGTGTAGATCGGTAGTACTCCTGGGATAGAAGGACTTCATTGAAATGACGGTTCTCGCGAGAGAGCGGCTTCAGTAGATAAACTCCTTGCATCTGTCAGCTACGTGCTATTGGCCTTGAGAGTGATCGGCATTAATAATGAGGCGCCTGTGGGTGTTATCTTTGTTTCGCGGGGCTTTAATTGACCATATGCTTTTCGTCGACCAGGTTTCCTCTTGGACCGGAGCCTGTTCACTGATGTTGATGATAGTACGGCATTTGTTCGCTGGGTATGGGACGTTGTTATTGGATTTGATTGCTTCACAGGGCAGGCTGTCGAATCGGGCCCTGAGATCGGAATGAATGGGGGAGTCGGCGGCCTTGGTCGTCTTGATAGCATGAGTGAAGAGCGAAGAGGAGCCCGCATGCAGTAGAGCCTGATTTCTGAAGGTTGGTCCACGTTTGGGTAGAGAGTCGGTATTTGGAGGCGTTTCTTTCAAGCGAGCACCGTTCAGCCACTCTGCGTGAACGTGCCCAGTTCTGCAAAGATGGAAGAGGCCCGCCAGTTTCAACACATGTTTGATATCGCAATGGAATCAAGTCTAAAACGAGAAGCCTACGATCAGTAATGAGAGAACGGGAATAAGAAAGAGGTTGAAAGGTCTCTAACATCTGAAACCCGGCATAGATCACTAGTTAGCAACAGCAAACGAATGATGGGGAGCAAATGAACCCAGTGGGTATCGGAATTTATTGAAATATGCGGATTGCTTCTGGCAACATCCTGCATCACACTGGCTTGTCGTCCCAGCATTACAGTGGAACCCAGCTTTATTCAGAGTCTTCCACGTGTCTTCTTGCGCTCAATGGCAAGGCTGTTTTCATCTTCAGGGTGCAGCATCTCAGAGATGACAAAGCACCCAGTCTTTTGCTTGACTGATTTTTTTGTGACTGTTCACGACTTCGTTGTGGCTTTGTTAAAGCATGTAGGTCAGCCGTTTCGATCTGTCGATTTGCCGGGTGGATGTAGGTAATTTGGAAACAGAGTTTGCAATTATGAATGGGTGGTAGCACAGTTCATGCATCTTGTATGATGCACTTGGTTGGGGTTAGGAACTTCGAACACACAAGGAATGCATCGTTCTGTAAATACAGCCTGAGTCATGCGACTCAGCACAAAGAATGGCAGACCATGGATTGTGATACGAATCGAAATCAGGGCTTAACCGCACGGGAAATGCTCAAAAACATGTCAATCCCATTGACGCCAAGATTTGTCCACAGGACGGTGACAATACCCATGACAATTAAGGCTGGTACTACCATAAGATCAGGAGATCTCTGTTGGTAGCGCTAGTGCATTAGAGAGAGGGACACTTGTTCACAGGAGCTCGTGACTGCTGCCATGACGAACAGCCTTCTAGCAAGCTTCAAGACCCCTACAAACGGGCCGGAGGTTCCAACTTATACCTCCGAGGACAACAGCGGTCTGCCTCTGCTTTGCCATTGTTCTGTTCGGTAGATTGAGCGCAGCTGAGGCAGAAGGAACGGCGCCAAGACGCGAATAAGTTACGACATGAGTTTAAGAGAAGACAACCAACCATACATGATGTCGGGCTTGTTAGAGGCAGCGATGTGTTTTTATGGGCTTGGACCATTACATGGCGTGGGCGTAGGCGTGGATGTTGACATAGGCAGAGCCGTTGCATCAGGAATCCAACGACATCGTCTTCGCTGACCTAGACTCACGAAAGGACCTCGCGCGTGTTTCCGCCCACGTTTCAGCTCATCCGCGCTGCAGCATACGCACCGAAGATATAATCATCTCGCAGAGGGCTTAACTGTAGAGGGATTGAGTGTTTTTGAAAGAAAATGCCTAAAGTATGTGTTGGGGTAGGTCCACGTTCTCTAATTGATGGTGCGACTAATGGCATCGCCTCCATCGGATAGGAAGTCCTGTCGATTTCGCCCTTCTAATCCACGCAGTCCGCCTGAAGCGCCTGAGATGTCTGACCCGAGGCAAAAAGCGGATCTAGCAAAAACATACAACACCGGGCATTCGCCGGTCGTCACCGACCCGACTACTACTCCAGCCCTCATTGGCTTATCTATGGGAGAGCGGACGGGATCCCGAGTTTTCCAATGGGTATGGTCGTATGTGGCAGGATGTAGCTTGTAGCCCAACTATAAGGCGGCCCTGGGTGGGTGAGCCTGGCCGTCTGGACAGCGAATGATGTTAGCTATCTATCCTTACGGAGTCTCCCTGTGTTGTCTCTTGCTGATACACACTGAGAATGAGCGCCTCATTGGCTTCTCAGCTTTTTGAGTTGTGGCTTCAGTTACGTAACTTAAAGAAGTCTGTCAGATCTCGGTGGCGGAATGGAAAACCTCTGATCCAAGGATGGGCACAAATAACGATGAGAATGCAAGTACGGGAATCAATCCAGAACTATGACTTAGTAGATCTTCTCGTAATGCGAGATCATCGACCAAGAATGAGCATTTTGCATAGAATCCAAGCATGTTGACCGAAGACGCCGGCGACGGGAATGGCCGAGATCACCAGACCGTAGACCGAGGCGATTCTACTCCGAGTGGCTGAGGCCATGATTGATGACATTGTGTCTGCAAGACTGCATTTTCGAGACGCGTAGTCTGTCGAGGGAGGACCCAGAAGAATCATTGCGTTGGCCATCAACCCCAAAGCGGAGACCAAATTTCGGGGGCTATGAGCATCATGCAACGATGCTAGAGAGTAGTACACATCAGTCGTAACAAACACCGAGGAATGGCGGGAATCTTACGGGGCGCCTTGGCGTTCGGCTGTGTAGAGTGGCGCCATGTCTTCACAGAGGACACTTGGGCGCTTGGTGGCGATCGAAGCACTCAGAGTCATGTTCGCTGAATACTTTCCTATGATCATGGTTCAAGCAACTTATGGTCCGCCTCAAAGTTCCGATATAATGTATTTGTCGAATTGGAGGAGCTCTGCTACCATGATGTATTCATCTCAAGAGATGCGTTGAGCGTGGTGCTTTATGTTTCAACAAAGGCTTTTGAGTTGCCTGTAAATTTTCTGTAGATCTTCGGTCTCTGTGTCTGCCCTCGTGGGGATCTCAAAGATCGACCCTCACACAGTTTCGATCTGAAAGCTTCGCGATATGTGCGGAAATATGGCTGTTGATTGGTCAACCTTGAGATGCCTGCACAGCTCCCGATCCACACCAAGCAGAGCTATTTCCCGTAATGAGACCGAACCAAATTGAGTGTCATAAATTGAGCTATTGAAGATTCGAGAAGAACAGCATGTATTTAATAGGGGCCAAACAAGGAGCGAGCTGGCTTATGTGCCGGGCGAAGCTGCAGCAGCCACCAGAACGCGACGATGTGGGCTTTCAGGGTACTGCCTGTAGAATTTGGGCAGTGGGTCGATGTTCGAGCAGAACGCCCTAACAGAGACGATTAGAACTGCTCTAGCAGGAGACGCGTGCGCATTATCGTACCTTAGGAACGAATGCTATGGTCTGATTTGCCATCATTGGCGGCTGCGACTTGTGTTAGTGCGAGGACGGCTTCCCTGTTACCGAGTCTGAATCAAGACTCTTGCCATCGAGTGTTGTCATTGATGCAAGGTGTTTCAATAGTCCTCATCTTGAAGATGTCGAAAATACTTGAGACAGTGACGTTGCGGCGTTGCCAGCCGGCGTGGCCCACGGATGCCTGTGAAGCCCATCCATGCCTGCGTAGCTCATCCGTGACACTCCATGTTCCTTTCTTATTCACGCGATCAATGCCGTTCTCGTGTGCAAGGGCTGAAAGGTAGGGAGTCGGGATGAACATGAAACGAAAAAGTTCAAGCGGCACGAGAGGCCGGCGCTGTTCGGGCCTCTTCTGCGGTCCGGCTCTTGTTGCGAAGGGTAGGTAGTTATCAAGACCCAGGAGCAGCGGATACAAGGACTTGTACGTCTCGCAGGCGATCTTCAACTTGCTTGCTACCATGATCTTCAACGCAGGGCTGTTGACGGAGAGAAGTTGACGGGCAGAAGGTTGCTGCAGGACATAATTTCGCACGGGTCGAACGGGTGGAGGGGGGTTGATAGACTGTAGCTAGAACATCGGGTGGGATATCCAGTCCCCTAATACATCGAGACAGTCATCTGATAGGTGCTGATATATGACAGATGAATGCGGTACCTGATAATGACTTTCAGACTCACCCTTTGGCTATTGGTGGTTTCCTTCAATCTTATACTTATGTTTTTATTTCCATGCGCGCTTCATTTTGTCTGTCACCAAGAGCCCTCGCTGACTGAGGTATGGAAGTATGATTCTCCAAGGTTCGAGGCGAATCACGGTATTTTCTAACGTATGGCCCGTTTTCGAGCTCCATTGACGGAAGTGTAAGGTGTCTTCATCTTGCAGGATCGCAAGTATGAAAGTCAAATCATAGAGGCGCCATGTAGCGGGGATGCATGAACACGATGAGTAGTATCCAGGCACGCACGTCTCGTGAAATCCATCAATGTGAAGTGGGAGAGCGATCCGCACTCTCTTGACTGCGACTGCTCAAGCGCCTCTCGTGTGCGAGCCAACACCCACATCCCATGCCCGTCCTTTCGGTATTCATCTTCGGCTGTCTGCCTTGAAGTTGAAGGTGTGACGCTCGGTTTCAGCAGTAGTTGCATGATCATCGAAATGCCTATCGTGACGGTGACGTCTTGAAGGCCAAGATGCCTCGATAGGCAAAGACAATGAGCAGCGTAACCTCAGACTACGGCCGTGTGACATAAGCAGGAATCTATCAGAGCAGATGTTTCGATTTGTCATGAACACCATCGGTTCTATTGCAACAAATGCGGAATTATGGTACTATGAATGATTCAATGCAAATCAATAGCTCCAAACTCAGTCCAGCCCGTCTACGAGCATGAAAAACGAAAACTCACTCGATATGCATGTTATTACCCGGGGACTAGATTATATTTCAATTTGAGGCGAACCTAATAATCGACTCCGGCTTTGGGATGAGCAGCCTACATTTCTGGTGCCCTCTGAAATCAGCATGATCCACTCGTTGATCGATCAAGCATTCCCATGCCCTCAACACAAGGCGCGACTTGCAAGCGGTCTGCCACTCGAAAGATCGCAAGGCCTAGACGTCCGTTGAAAGTGCGTTTTGCCAATGCTGGCAACTCTTGATACATTAGATGTCTCGAATCATGGGTTGTTAAACGTGGGCTTTGCGTTTGACAACCAAGCTGCTATTTGGGAAAAAGAGTAGCGTGGCCAACGCCCGAGAAGTGAGGAGCATCGTGTGTATCACTATACAAGGTCGAATCTTATCCGTTTGCCTCTAATGAAGTCTCATACTTGCCTTATCCTCAAAGATGATGCATCTGAACAGGACACTGCCAATTTCTACTTCGAAATCCGGATCCTGCATTATTTAATTAAATTACATAATGTGACTTTAGTTTAAGTTCAGAATTATAAGACTTTCTCAAGAGAGAATGCAGCTTGTGGTTTGTAGAAGGCTTACTTTCAAATCGCTTGAGTTTTCTTAAAGAATTAGACTGAGCCTTCTTTTGAAGTTCGGCACAGTCCTCGTTAGTCTCTGCTTGAAACGATCAGATGAAGTTATTATGGCAATATATAATGGGATATGTCTGACTGGTTGGTCTTGGAGTGCCTTAGGGGCTCTGCATGCTGCATCCTACGCGAACTTCCTACTGAATATACTTCGCCAGGAATCCAAACTGCCACCTGCCGAGGTTATTCGACCCATGCAGAAAGAAGATTCGGCATATATGAGGGATTTCCACGAATCTCAAGCATACTTGAAGATTTTACATGTTACTTATACACAAAGTATACGCACTGAATCAGGCTTCATAGGTTCATGATCCGGTGATGGAAATGGGCGAGCGAAAGCTTCACGATCCGACCTTGAGAGGCGACACCAATACATACTGGGACTGAGATATGCCTGGCACAATATGGTTTGCAAAATACGTTCGCGACAGCTTTCATCGCGCAAGATTTGCACACATAGTTCAATAGATTGGCCTTCACGTATAGACAGCCCAGCAAGCAGTTTGAGAAGGACGTAGATGAATCATACGATGGCCAGCCTTGAGGTCTTGTGGTTTCCTGTTCCGTCTATGCTAAGGGGTTCAAGAACACGATCATCAAGTCGTCTAATCTTCCAGAGGCATGTAGTACGAGATGGCGACCAGCCAATGCCCAACTGATCCCAATCTCTGTACTTGGCTTAGCCAAGAGGTCCATGAATGCTGGCGGTAAACAAGTTAGGTCAGAGCAGGCCGCTGTTATGAGTGATAAGACTCGGCTCTTGATTCGACGGGCAAAGACAAATGCCTCATTCCACCGAAACAAGCATGGAGAGACAGGAAGTAAGGGTCCAAGAAGAGCGTCAAGCTAGTCCAAACCCATCCGCCAGAGACAGAAACTAAGACTCGGCTTTCGGAACACACAGACAGCCGCGAGGTTCTACCTCAACTTCGAATTATATATACCAAAGAGCCGCCCGCCTAAGGATGCAATCGGCCTCCCCAAATTTCTTTTTTTGCACCAGGCACTATTTGCAACGCCAGCAAGCCTTTCCACGTGGAGAGGGACGGTCATCGCCCTTTCACTATCATGTAAAAGATGAAGGCTCCTAAAATAGCACATGGAGCATAGGCGCTGACGAGCTCAAAGGGAGAAAGCCCTCTTCTGATGAGATTGACAATATCACAGCCTGTCTCAGGCGATGCTCAGCAGCGCCATAATGACGAGCTCACGCGGACTTGTGCATCGAATTTCCGAGGAGAGCGATAGTGGAGAGACGCTCGCTCCTTGTCGACCAGGCTTCTCCTCCAAGTACGCTCAATTGAACTGTGCTGGGTTGCGAAAGCTGCATGCTAGACGACGCCGATGATACTGTGCATCGGCTGCGGGGTTGAATCGAAACGTCGAGGCACGGGAAGACGAACATCGTTGACGGCATGAACCAAAAACGCTCCGGAAGACTATGCGCGTGAACACATGAAATTAGTATTCATGCTTGCGTCGACTTCTGACGCCTGTTGCGGGATCATGACAGCAGTAGATTTGGATATGACTTGTGCGAGAGGAGATGGATGCATAATGAATTCGATGAACAGAGCGGTAGCAGTATATTTCTTGCAAGACAAGATCCAGTACTGGTTTCTGCTTCTCTAAAAGTAGTGCTCAGGAGTTGAGTCCCCTACGTAAATCTAGCGGGGTGGCGATCAGGATTAGCAGCGCGAGGGTGCGAAGAGGGGAGCTGCGGCTACGAAAGGTCGGCAATGAGACAAGCGAGAATGACAGAGCCGCCTCCTCCACGCATGTTTGCTGTTTGCTTGCGGACTGCGTCTCCTCGCTTCTCTTGACGACGAATCCCACACGTTCTTCATCGCGGCGGCGAACCTGACGACCTGGCCGCACAGAACGACCGCAGCCCTCGCCGTAGGCGCCTTTCTACATGACAACCACCAGCAGGGCCAAGACAGCCTGAATCATATAGTGTCGCCGAGGTTGACCCTTGGTGCAGGATCTCGCCAGACCAAGACGGCTTTGGCCGTGGTGGACGACAGAAGGCTGAGCGATGGCTGGCCTCGACTCGTACTCTCAATAGGATGATGTCGGCCGGTGCACCATGGTTGTGAGAGGTAACGGGTGGGGATGGGCGTTCAAGGTTCCTACGACGGGAAAGCTTTCTACGAAGAAAGTCCTGTCACGACAGGTCCCTTTTCGGCGCATGCACTGTCGCTCTGTGTCAAATGGTGCTCCTTGGAGACCTCTTCCACGATTTCTCAGGAAGATGAGACGATACCGGCAGGCAGAAGATGACTACATCTCAACTGTCGGCGTTGGTGCTTTCGTTGGCATCGGCGGCGGTGTTTGTATCGCCAGTCATGTCGGCATCACTGTTCGTCGAGATACCCAAGATCGCGCGAAGGTACCACGGCCAGAAACAATCCCTCGAGTGCTCCGCAAGAAGCTGGATGGCGTAGATGATCCGATAGATGCCAAGGACGTTTCTGGTCGTTCCAATGGGGACTTCGCGCCAAAGAACCTGGAACCTGTTAGCATGGACCGCGAAGACTAGGGGACGTCAAGCGCGAGGGGACGAACCGTTTTCCGGCCCTCTTTCCTTGTCGCCGCGAAGTACCAGTCGTGACCTCGCACAAGTAGGGCGGGAAGGTAGTCAAGCTGGCCGAGGACCTCGTCACAGCGTTCTTGGCGAGTCTGGGGTGGCTCGCCATCAGCATCAAGACGCATCTGAACGAGCTTCTCCAGATGCCGCCATTGGGCGGTCTGCCACACACCGATCTGCAATGCCTGTTTCTGACCGCCCTCATCCGGACGCTTAGTCTCGATACTGACGGAGATGGGATCTCGTAGGAGGGGGTTGTGGCCGGTGTGATTGATGGATTTGTCCGTAAGTTCGGTTCGCAATACGTCAATCGCGTTAACCACATGAGCATAATCGGGTCCGGCCTGTTGGGGGCAGAGGTTGATGCAGAAATCGACCATGTGTGTTGGCGAGTATCCCGACCGGGATCGGTAGGCGAGAAGGGGCTTTGCATGCGTGCTGTAAAGGCGATGTCAGCAAGTGGTGAACAAGCGTTGGCGGTGAACTAACCATGAGTCGAAGTCGACAAGCTGCCTCTTGCGGCCGCCAGCGCCATGGAGTGCCAGCTTAAGCAGGGGGAAGTGGACGCTGCAGTTCCAGCCGTGTTCCGTGTGCACCAGCTCCTGGCACCGCATCGCCTCCTGGAGAAGGTCAAGGACGTGATCGACGGACGGCGTAGAACCCAGCGCATCTCTCTGGCCAGAATTGTCAAAGGCGGCCTTGCCTACGCGAGGAATTTTGCCAATTTTCGAGTACTCCAGGAAGACAGGACGCATTGCCTCTGGCAGTAACCCCTCGTTGTTGTTCAAGTCTTCCATCTTGTCGAACATGTCCAAGGCTGGGCCGGCAGGAGGTGTCTGGACGCCTTTGGCGAACTCTTTTGTATCGAGCGGCGAATCGCCGAGGCTCACGGCTGCAAGCCTCTTGGTCGGGGACGATTGGCCGGAAACATTAGAAACACCGGACTCCTGGTCGCTCGCAGTCGGGGTATGAGTGCCCAGAGAGGCTCTGGAGATGCCGGTAACCTGCCTGGCCTGCGTGGGTGTGGCATCGGGATCCTGTGACAGGGGTTGGTTGGTCGGACTGCCGGGCGCGTCTTGGTGATGCCGCTTTTGACGTTTCCAAGAGGGCGTGTCTGACATGTTGCCTAGCAGGGCCTCGTCGCCGTCGGAGGAGAAGGAACGGGTTGGATCGGAGGGAGGCGGGGAGACAAGAAGCGGTCGCCGTTTTCGCTTGTTCAGGGATTTCGCGGTGGTGCTGTCGAGATCCGCTTGGTGAATGCGTTCCGGGCAGATGTCGTCGGGGATCTGCGAAAGCCAGGCCGCGATGTCGATAGGACGTCCCGGGTTCGAGGATGAGCAGAGCATCGCAAGTCGCGGATGACTGGTGCTTCAAGACCGCCGATATCTGTGCTAGTGATGCACGATGTGGAGGCTGGACAGCTGGATGGGTGCGATGGTGATGGAGGGCATATCGGAAGACGCGCTGGTGATGATGTCGATACGCAGTTGAGCTCAGGATTCTGCCGCCGAGTGCGTTGGCGGGGAGACACCTGCGCTTCTGTGATTGGCCGCTCAATCGAAGTGTGGGGTTTTGGTTCGGAAATCTCATCACCAGAACCCCACTTAGGTGTGGCGCTGTGGCTCAAGTGCTTATGTAATGAGTCCCTGCCATAGCGACACGCAGTTTACCCCCTGCTACTCAACCACGTGCTGCCGGACCGCCATGAAGTGGTGGCCAGGCCTGGTCCAAGCTGAGCTACAACCTCGCACCACCACTACCACCACCGGTCGCCGTACATGTACTATGGGTCAGAAATGTCACTGGACATGACGATTCGGATCATTGGTGCACAAAAGTAGAGATTAAATACTCGTGCTGTGCCAGACCGATGCATCGGCGTATGCCATGACGCGGACCCGTGTGTAATGACCGTTGCCGTTATAGCCTGTGGATTATTGACGTCGGTTATGACTTGCGCAACCTTGAATAGAAATCACCAGTCCAACACCATCCCACAAACTTCCTCTCCCCGATTACTTCAACACAATGAATACATCAACACCTCAAATGCCGCGCTTTTTCGACGTGGTGGAACCTTATCTAAGAAGCGGAGACAGGGTTTACTTGGCGCAGGTTTTACAACACTGGAGTCCCGCAATCGACCCAAGACACCACATCGGTGAGGCTCTCCACGAAGCCATATTCCGAAATGACGAGACTGCAGTTCGGATGATACTTGATGCTGGCGGAGACCCCAAGGTGCAACAGACGCATGATCCCGGTTTGACGCCGCTCTTGGCTGCTTCGCAGTATGGCAGGCTCGAGATCGCCAGCCTGTTTTGGCCACTGGTCGGTCCCGGCGGACGCTTCTACCCCAGCAAAACACCCTATCTCTGCTGTCTTGAGGTGGCTGCTCGAAATGGACACGCGGAATTGGTTACCTACTTCCTGGATGTATGGAACGGCTGGACTGACGACGAGAAGCGCTGGGCAGTGTTTGCCGCTGCGTCGTCATAGTGTGATGATGTTGTAGCCTTGTTGTTAGCCAAGGTTGACTACACCCCCGATATTATCCAAGGCGCTCTTGAAGCAGCCGTTAGACGAAAGTTGATCCTCCCTGAGGATCCTGTGAAGCCACTTCCTGGAGTCGAGGACTACGTGTACCAACAGCGCGTAGTTCATCGACTCGTCGATGCTGGTGCAAACCCGAACGCAACAAACGGTCTTTCATCCAACCTGCCTCTAATCCACACGGCTTGCCTTTCAGTCAATTGCATTGGCGCCGTGAGAGGGCTTTTGGAGAAGGGAGGAAATGCCAATGCTCAAGACGCACGCGGTCGGAGCGCCCTCCAGTGTCTGGTGATCAGACCGCCCTTATTGACTGACGCGGCACGGATTCTTTTGCAGCACGGCGCATCGATCGAGACAACTGGCGAAGCTGGAGAGACAATATTGCATCGCGTCGCACAAACTGGAACCGTCGAGCATTTAAATCTGTTTCTCTCGCACTCTGACGAACCAGACACCGCCATTCGGTCGGTAACCCTGCATGGCGAATCACTACTGCATTACGCCGCAGCCGGAGGGCGAGAAGATGTAGTCGAATTTCTGCTTACTCGTGGTCTGGACGTCAATGCACCCACCAGCAACGGCTGGACGCCATTGCTGTGCGCTCTATCCCCGACGAATGCGAAGAGGGAACAGAGTTCGTACCGCCTCGCAAACACCCTACTTCGGCGGGGTGCCAATGCCCACGTCGTGACGGCCGAAGGATGGACCCCGCTTCACGCTTTAGCAACGTGGCCTACCCCTGTCTCAGCCCAGGACCAAGAGGCGAGGAAAGCCGCGGCGCCACTTGTCCAAGAGCTCATCTCTCGCGGCGCGCCCATCGATGCCGAATCGAGACTTATCCAGAGTCCATCGCTTAACCCAACAGGCTACAGGATGTGTGGGGATTCCGCATGCAGAAGTTCGTCAAGGATCTTGCCATACCTAGGCAGGACCTGGAGGGCATGAGCACCGATACCACATCACTAATGTGGGCAATGCGAAGCAATGCAGTGGATATCTTCGAGATAATCAGGGCGCATCTGGACTCAACAGCATATGATAGAGGCAACTAGTCAGTGAGTTAAAGTGATGTAACGCCAAAATTCTGGTGCAAGAAGCCACATAGCATACCGAAAGCGAATCTACCTTCGCGCCCAGACTCCCGCATATAGTTGAGACCATTAAGGTACATCGGAGAGTTCACCGAATGAGAGCAATAGCTGCTCCGAAGAAGCCTTGAAGTAGCTATATGTACACTATTGATGGGACAGTTACCCAAAATCTGCTACCAAACCACAAATCATTGATCTCAAAGTCAACGACGTACATTTGCTGGCCCCATGCTAGATGTGGTGCTTCTGTCAGCTGAACTCTCCCCGGGAAAGCGGGGTCGATTTCTCCGCTGGGAAGTGTTTGGAAGCCTTCTGGAAGCTCAGCGTCAGCGAAAGTCACGGAAAGAGCAGAAGGTCGCGGCCGCAAGTATAGGAAACGGACAAGTTCAGATCGGTGCTTACACTGAATAGAAGCTGCAGTGTGCGCAACCTCATGCAGTCATTATTGAATATTCGCTCACCCCATTGCTTGAATCGCCGGTAGAAGTCATCGTCTGATTCAATCACGGTGCTAATGAGGAGCTCATCCTCGGCTCCGGGATGCCACACGGCCTTGTCTCTTTAGAGGTGACAATATCTTTACTGTTACGGTCACTGCACGCATTCTCTACTCGCCATGACGTGTCGCCCCGTACCTTGAACATCTGCGGTAGCCGTGGAAGACCTAAACCGATCGTATGCCGACGTGGATGCGCCCGTTAATAGTCCTCAGCCACTCGTCATTGTGCATGTGGAACACGACTCAGCGGTCTTAAGGGCCGCAATTCACCATATAGGAATCTATGTACGTGTCATTGCCGCCGGCCACGCCGGGAAGTCGTTCTTTCCAATATGCCAGCTCGGGCATGGGCCATTTTGCTGCGCGAGGTTCTGCCAGCGCTCATAGTCCAGGCTCAGGCCGCCATTTACATGCCTCCCACGATGGATGAGATGTTAGGGTGCCGTGCTCTTCGTTGCGCAACCAACACACACACATCGTTTACATGTAGCCACGGCGGAAGGATAAATGATGACACATACAGCTAGACAAGTGCAAACAAAGTCATGGGGAAAGTCAACCAAATAATCTTCACTTACATGGCGGGAGGTCTCCGACAACGCCTCTCCATTGCGGCTTCTCATAGTTGGTAGCCAGGAAAACAGCTCATACACCTGCGCGACACGTCAAATTCCCGGGCCGACAGCCATTGGGTTGAGGAAAGCGTATCGCATGAAAGCGTTGAGTTCGAGGTCAGGATTGTGTGTGTTGTGCGCCCAAGGTTTTCCATCGTGATATACTCACCCAAGACTCCGGCGAAGATTTCATCAAAAGCAGCTGGAAACGACCCAATTAAGTGTGATGACTTGGTGAGCAGAGTGACTCTCAACTCATTCATCCTCACATAACGATTCATGTCGCAGTTTATAGCCCTCCCTTATAAGGACCGGGGGTGGGAGGCCTCGAGCTTGAGAGATTGTTTTATGTAGGTGAACGTGCGCTTAGTTTTGGGCGCTAAATCGTGGCGGGCACGTCAGTTCTCTGTGCAATTCTCGAAGAGCAATGAAACTTCTTGTTCTGGTTTGCTACAAAGGGATCATCGTCACTGAGGGGAACGCGGACTTGGGAGGCTCGCAACAGTACGCCCTGGCACCGCCAAAGCAATCGTACTCGGCTTTTACACCGCTAACCTCGGTGGCCAGAATGATTGATTCGCGGAGACAGCTGTCCTCGTAGATCAAGTCCTGTTCGAAAATGGGCGAACTCCCTTTCTTGTGTCAATCGCACTTGGAAAATGCTGCCGGCTTTGGGTCCTGTCAGCAATCGTGATTCGACCCAGATATGCACGGCTAAGCGCCTCTAGCGACCAGCTCTCACAAAAAGATCATGTCCGAGTAGTCGCTGGAACAATTCTTATCGCAAATTGGTGCCTACTAGACCCCTTTATACGGCCCGTAGGTGGATCTGGATGCTTCGTTGGTGCAGCACGCCGAGAAATTGCAGCCAACGCGCAACGAGCCGACTTTGACCTCGCTATCATTGCACCCAGGCTTGTATACGCCGCTGGTTTCGTGAGCACTCATGAAGGGTGGGTATTGGCTGGTCGGCCGAGAACAACACAACATATGCATACCGCCAGCGGGGCGGTCCTGATTGTCGAGCATGATCTCGTTTTGGCCTTCGTGCTGCACCGTCTTGAAGCCAACCGGAAAGTTTTGGCGACGGCCCGACCACCGGCATAGCTCAGAGAACTTGGGCGTTGGTTGCGTTTGATGGTTGCGTTGAGGTCGGGGCGGGAACAAACATTGGCAGGTCCATTGTTTGTCGCCAACTGTGGACGTGAGGGCCTTGATGTTGGTCCTGTCCTTGTTGATCTGGGTAATGGCTCAGACCATGACTCCCGGGATGCACCAGCTGCGGCCGACGTTCGCCTTGAGCCATCACGTCGGCAAGTCGTTGAAAGTCGTCCACTGGTCGCCCCATGTCACGGAATTGATAACGGCATTGCGATGAACTGTGGATGCTAGTTTGTCTTTCTTCCCTTCTAACTTTCCTTCTTCGTAGTTTGCCGCCTGGATGCGCACCTTGTTGACTGCCGTATGACTCTCATGGGGAAATGTTCGAGGGCCAGGATGGCTTGATTTGGATGTAAGTTTGTACTTGCTAACGATGCCCACAATGTCGTGGTGTAACAGCACGCCTGTCTTGCCTGGGCACTCGCCCG